CAAACCAATATTTGAAGGAATACTACAATCAGAGCCATAGCATAAAGACATGCCTTGTGAAATTTTGAAAGCTCGTATTTAACCTTTTTCTTAAAGCCTTTCAGAAACTACTTGGATCTGTCACTTTGCCTATTCAATTATATTTACAGCGGATGAGAACTTACTTCCAAGGATAAAAGCAGTTAATTGTTTTATTAGATTGTGGTTTCAATGCAGTGGATAGGAAGTGCATAGTTTCACGCTTAACTGCTCTGGGTGCTTCCTACAGCCTCCTCTTTATTTGGATGCCAAGCCTGCTAGACCCTGTTACAAATAGCCTTCTGGAAGTTAGAAGACTGGAATGGAAGATAGTTGCCACCTTAATTCTGTGTTTATGTTTTCCAGTGATTTCCAAGGAAGAGCTCCTTTGGTGCTGAGCTGGGATTGACTGCAGATTGGCACAGCCTTTTTCACTTAGTGATTACTCTGTGGTCAGAAGACAATTTTTCCATAAGAGATTTTTCCGAGAAACTGAACACAGACAAGTTCCAATGCTCTGTGGAGTTATGGGACTGGACACTGCTCCTGTCTGCCAGCAGATGAAAGGGAATGGCAATAAGAAAATGATAAAGCAAGCTATGTGTGGGTAACTGTGCTGATACTTTATTTTTTGCATCTCTGATCTTCCCTTTGTAGGATCCAGATCTTTGTATGGAGAACTCAAGCTGTACAAAATAGAAAGGATGCACCACAGTGCCATAAGGGAATTTGGACCAAGTTACCTGCAGCTGAGAAGTGCAATTTGACAGAGTCTCTAGGGGTCCAGGGCAGTGCAGTGAGCAGCTTGAACCTTGGGAAGCAAAGAAGAGTTACTGGGATACAGCAATCAATTCAAAATCACATATGAACTTGAATGTCTCAAGGACAAGAAGCCCAGGCAGGGGCTCATGCCAACCTTTCTAAAATGTCAGCATTGCTCATGCTCCATGGCTCGGGGACAAATTATCTGTTCTGGGTCAGGCAGCCTGAAAATATCCCTCTGGTGCAAACAGGTGATCCAAAACCTGGCAACTCAGCTAATCCCATGCCCTATGTATATGTCTCTGTGAACGTGCTGCAACATAAGGCTGGACCTACATACTTGGCTAAGAGCAAGAGGAGACACAGATACACAGCTTGTGTCACCCAGAGCTGAGGAGGAGCTGTGGGCAGTGCTAATGAGGACAGCAGCTGCCTCCACAGCTCCCCCAGGTAAATCCTCACTGCAAAAGGACAGCTTATTCCTCCATCACAGATATCAGTGCTGAGGTCTCCTCAAAGCAGAAGACTTTCTTACTGAAAGTCATTTTGCACTGTCCCTGGAAACATTCACTGTGGAAAGTTGCTATCCACCTATTTGCTGGATTATACCAAATAATGCAGCTATAATTAAAGCATCTATGACTGCCTGAAAATGTTCTGATAGAATTTTTTCCTATTTCATCTACATTCAAAACTTCCTCTGTAACAGTGCTGACTTTGATGGTATTTTGGATTGACTTCTTAGACTGATTTTTTATTTCACAACAAGCTGTTGTCTCCAAACATATTTTGTTCTATATTACATTAGATTAATACTCCCCAAAGTTAAAGCCATAATAGTATTCTTTGTTCTCACCATAGTAGGACTGACGTTAAAATGTTGGCATTTCATGTGGAATGGAAACTTGAGGTTTCAGATTAATCTAATCACTTTTAGTTAATCCCTTATTTTAATATAGAGTAAAACATTAGGGGCAGGGCTCACACCTGTTCTGTAGCATCCAGCTGTATTCTCATAAAAACAGGAAGACATGGTTGTTTCATAAAATAATCTGAACCTCCATGAAAAATTTGGTTGGAAATCAGAAAATGTACTTAGAGCCAAAATCAGTCAATAGAGATTCTGTCTCTGTTTGCTGCTCTGATAAATTTGAACTTAAACTCTCACTGTCATGGAGAGGAAAATGGAATACATTAACATTGATGAGCAAGGTTGGCAAGCTGTCTCAATAAGCTGTTTGGAGTGAGGAACAATGTACACAGCTACACTTACCAACCCTTGCACTTCACTGAGTGAACTTCCTCCTCGTTTTCTGGGAACTCTGTTGGAGGAATGATTCTGACCAGCTTTTTTATTTATAGCTACAACAAAGCCAAAGTTTTTGCGTATTTGCATCTAATAAAATACAAAACACAGTGAGAAACTCAAAACTACAGCACCTTATAAGATAAGCATTTGTACTGTTTTTTGGTAGTTGAGAGTTAGAAAGAAAAATTTTCCCATGCCAAGGAAAGGTGAGAGGGGCCAGTAGTTTAGCTTGCACCACTTATCTTTTCCAGAGTTACAAGCCAAACCACTGCTATAGATTTCCCCCCTCCCACTCACTGGGCTTTCTAATGTGAGAAATATCTTCCCATGGAAAGCAGTGGTTATACAGTCACATGGGATCCTGCCTTACTCATGCTGTTGGTAGCTGTTTTGTGAAACAGGGCAGAGATGCCAGAGCTACCCTCAGGCTGGGATCTCTCTTGTAAACAGAAGCAGGAGAAGCCAGGAGGAATAGGCAGGCTCCAAAAGATCTTCCCAGTCATCTCAGGGAGTGACTTCTATTGGACTAAGCAGCAGGTGGACATCCTGCTGTGTATTATGGCCCACGTACTGCCAGGAGAACATGGGACACAAATCCGAAGACTAAACCACATGTGCTCCCTGAAGACCCTGAAATCTTTTTGTAAGACAAAACTGTTCAGTTCTGAGCCTTAGACAAATCCCTGTCTAAGTACAATTTGTTTATCTGCAGTGCTTTTCCAGCAGCAGTAGGTCACTTATCCATCACTCTCTGACCTTAGCAGCAATACCAGCACTGTTTGAGCATCTGCTCTGCCCAGCACCAACCTAGCTGAGACTATTCCAGTGCTGAGCAGAGCATGCTTTAAGTATTAGATTATAAAATGCTTTGAGAATGTCACACAATAAATTGCAAGCTTTCTGAAAACCCTGAGCATATCCATCCAGAACCCAAAACACGAGGAAGGGGCTTGGTGAACCCAGATAGCTCCAGCACCATAGGCCAACCAGCAGCTTGCTCACTGCTCTGGAGAATGCCAAGAGGGGAACCATAGCTCTGGGCCCTTGAGTTGTCCCTCAGTTCACCTGAACAAGGTAGGCATTAGGCACTTGAACTGTGTTTGTGCCTCAGGAGATGGTCAGCAGCCTCAGTTACCTGATGTGCACATAAGACTGCCATGGATGTGAATGGGCAGGTAGGATGTGCTGTACAGAGACAGCAGAAGGGTCTGTAGAGCTCACTCACATGCTAGGGAGGATGGCTTTCTACAGACAGAGCTGTCTGCTGGGGCTTTAGAAGGAGATAGAAAAGCAAGGTGGTAACCTGAGATTAATGTGTGGAGCTCTTCATTCTTAGGCTGCTTTGCCTTTCTGTCACTAAGCACAACAGCATTTCCTTCAAAATGTGTCCCAGTGGAGACACAGTAGGAGAGGGAGTGGAAGCAATGTGAGTTCATGTCACCCTCACTTGCAGGAGCAAAGGCAGAGTTGTTGGTTGATGGATGTGCCAGACATACATTGAAATGAGTCAATCTTTTTCTAAAAACCTTTCCCACAAAAATATCCCAACCAACCTAGCAACCAACCAACAAAACATAGATTAAATGAGAACTGAGGCCATTTGGAGAGGTCTTAGCTCTTATTTTCACTGTTCTGATAAGACTCTCAAACATTGAAAAGATGTTTTTTAACTCTGCTAAATATTAATCTTCTACAAGGCCTGGTAAAGACAAAAATAGGAATGAAGTAACAGCACAAAAGAAAGCTGTACGCCTATGCTGTTCAGGATATAAAGCCTTTGGAAGCTTTTTTTGAGATTGAGAGAGGGGATTCTCCCACTCTGCTCTGCACTGGTCTAGCCTCACCACAAGTCCTGTGTACAGTTTAGGACACCACAATATGGGAAAGACATTAAAGCCTTTAGAGAGTGTCCAAAGGAGGACTACAAGGATGGTGAAGGGCCTTGAGGAGAAGCTGTATGAGAAGCAGCTGAGGGCACTTGGTGTGTTCAGCCTGGAGGAGACTAAGGAGAGACCTCACTGCAGTCTGCAACTTCCTCATGAGGGGAAGAGGAGGGGCAGGCACTGATCTCTGCTCTCTGGTGACCAGTGACAGGATCCAAAGGAATGGCCTGAAGCTGTCAAGGGAGGCTTAGGTTGGATATTAGAAAAAGGTTCTTCCCCCAGAGGGTGGTTGGGCACTGGAACAGCTCCCCAGGGAAGTGGTCACAGCCCCATCCTGACAGAGTTCAAGAAGTGTTTGAACAATGCTCTCAGGCACAGGGTGTGACTCCTGGGGTGTCCTGTGCAGGGCCAGGAGCTGGATTCAATAATCCTGATGGTCCCCTTCTAACTCAGCATATTCTGTGATTCTGTGAGATCTTGCAGGCAAGTTAGAGTAGTGGGAGCCACAACAGCCTTGTCACTGTGTTCCCTGGAAAGCCTGCCCAACACAGTGCCAACATGGAAAGTTAAAAGAGTCTTTATGAGGATAACTGTCCTGATGCATCTTCTATCTCTTTTTCTCTCCTGTTTCTATTGTTAGCTGTATCTAGTAATCAAACCATGACTGTTGAGTTGTAAAGGTATATGACGACAGTAAGAGACGTTTTTCTTCCTCATACAGTCTCAAGATTCACCACCAAGTTTCCAGCCCCAAAGCATGGTCTGTGGACACTCATGGATATAATGTGAAATAAATTAGTTTCAGGCTTCACCCAAGGCCCCTGCTTTGGGCCACTCTGACTCACAGGAACCCACAGTAATGCCTACAACACCATAGTGGGTTTTTTTATTGTTTTCCTCCAAATTAAGGCCACGGTAATAACAGTGTCATGAGACCAGCACCAAACACAAGAAATCCTGCCAAGTGAAGCTGTACTTATGTACAGTGTGAAATCAGCAAGGAAAGGAACTGCCCAGAGACTAAAACATTTCCATATTAAACTTATGATTTAATACTTGTGTAAGTTAAACATTAATATGGGTAAAGCTATCTTCAAAACAGAGCCAGTGCAGAGTTGATCCAAAAGTCAACAGGACAAAAGAATCTAGAGCAAAAATCTGAGCCAAACCACTGCTGCTGATAATATCTGGCAAGAAAATTCACCTCGGAGAAGAGCTGGAGGACAAAACTCCATTAAAAACACAGATCAGACCTTGCTTTTTTCTTACTGTCTCTCTGCCTTTATTCTCACCAGATGTAAAAGAGTCATGATCTTAGAGGCCTGGGATATAGTTTCTAAGAGGGCTCTGCAGGATGAGGATTGCTTCTGAGATTCAGATTCCAGCCTGAGCTGCAGCTGACCTTGCCAACTTGGAGGCACAAAGACAGAAATCTTTAAGTGACTCTGGCCCAAATGGTATTTACTGACAGAGAGCTTGTCTTGAGCTTGCCAGCTATTAATTGTAGTTTGACAAATTATAAAGGCTTCCTGTCGTCCATCAGGGTATCCACTTCCCATTATTCTGGGCTAACAGTCTGTAAAATGAAAAGGCAAACACAGCTTCATTAAAACAAAGCAAGACACTTCCTTGGCAGGCAGGTTTGGAAGAGCAGGAACCGAGTCCCAGGGGCTGCACTTCCAGCTTCATCTCTGAACAGATATGTGGGGGAAACAAAGGACAAACCATGCTTTCACCTCTCTGTACCTCAGTGCACACATTCATCGAGCAGGGACACACACTGCTACTCAGAGTCATCTTAGAATCTTATGGAAATGAATTACAATTTGTAAAGCAATCTGTGATGCTGGGTGGATGTGGATACCAAATTTTGATATTCCAAAACCATCCAGATTAGCTTTCAAAACTCTAAATGTTTTTATTAGAGGTCATTATTTATTAGTTACACCAAGATGTGGGTATTAAAACCAATATCAATCAATTAATTGATTTATCATCTGGCATAGTACAAGGGAAAACACATTCCTCTGGTCTAATCCAATACTTTTTGGCTTCCCTTACTTGCCCAGATTCCTCTGCCATGACTGTACCTCTACAGCTGGGGCAGCTACTGAAGAAGGTAACACCTAAGTCTTCCACTGCAGAGAGACAGACAGACACCCTCAGGAGTAATTCTGATCCTGTCTGGGCTCACTCAGACGCTGAAAGTCTTTCAGACTCTTTATCTTTCTGGGTCCTAGATTTGTCTGTATTCAGAAGTTAAATGTGCCCAAGCTCCAGGCCTGAGGCCAGACTGCACCATACAGTTGCCAGTCAAGTAACTCTGCTCTGCTAATCAAGGTGTCTGTGCTGGGGCATGGCAGGTCCCCAGGTGGTGACAGGGCACTGTTTGAGCACGGCTGGTGCCCTGCCCTACACCAGTGTCAAGGGCTCTTCTGACAGCACAGCAGCACTCCAAATCCTGACCCTGCAGCATTCCCTGGCTTGTTTAATTTAACAGTGGAGGTGCACCCTTAGATGTAAGAGATAAGTTTCTGAAGTTAGCTGAGATGTGCTAGGACAACACAGCTATGTGAGGGATGGGGCTAACTCTTTCCATCCTGTAGCCATGTGGCAATCCTACTTGTTAGGAAATAAGGATAGACCAACATCTAAGTTGTCAGGCTAAGTCTATATAAACTAAATACTTCAAAGGAACTCAAGAGAACCTGATACATCTCCCAGCCTCTGCACACAGCTGCAGAGTGCTGTGTGTACCTGATACACAGGTTAAAAGGGTTCTGGGTACCTGGGAGTTGTCCATCGTCTGACTGTGAGTCAAACCCAGGAATGCAAGTCAGGATGTCTGAGCCACCACCCCCTGCCTGAACCAGGAGACTGCAGTGCCTCTCAACTGTAGTGTGAGCTTGTTTGATCCCACTGCTATAACCACCCCCTAATGAGGACCAGATACATCAGCCTCCACAAGGAGACAGGGAAAAGGAGGGAGGATTTCCTCCCTAATACCATAGAAAGAAGAGTAGTTCCTGGAATATTTACCAAGCCACTGAACCAAAACTTTGTTTTTATATTTTGCTTTTCAGCTCCTCTTTTTAGTTGATAGCTATTTCACAGCTCAAATCCTTGAGTCGTTCACTAGAAACCTGTGATGCAAAGGAAACATGGCTACATCTGATGTCCCAGCATCCAAAAAAACAGCTGCTGGAAAATCTTACGAAGTAAGAAGTGTGGGAGCACTTGCATGTATGAGGCTACTGTCCTTAAATATCAGCATTTATAGTACTGCTTTAATTTGCCTTAAAATATTTTCTAAAAATAAACTAAAACTTTACATGCCAAGTAAGACAAACTGCACTACATTTGGCCCTTGAAGTGCTTTGATTTGATTTCAATGTAACTATTTGGATCCCATGACTAGTAAAAGGCACATGCCTCAGAGTGGCAGCTTTTATTCTTTTAGGGCAATCAGCATCCCCTCAGTGCAAAGGATTAAATCAAAACTAAATTAAATAGCATACTACAGAGAAGGCTGGCTGTGTACTTTTCAATATGGACAAAGCAATCCTTCTCCTCACTGGTAAAAATTCATGCTAGTGCAGAGACCCAGCACAAAGCCTAGACACCACTTAACATCCTGCTGAGGGTTTAAGTGTTGGCTACGCTTTGTGCTGAGCCTCAGTAATGGATGGAATATCACCCACAAGAAAGAACAGGGACAAACTGCATTTAGATTTTCCCTGGGTCTGATTCTGTATTTTCAAAGCTCTTTTTTGTGGGAATTTATAGTCAACATGAGATATAGGATGTGGCTTTACATTTCACCTCATACCTGAAACCTGCCTTCATAATGAAAGGGCCATACAGATATATTATCCAGGATAATATTTCTTCAAGGTAAAAGGACACTGCACATAAAATATCTGCAGGCCTACTATCACCCATCAAAGACAGTGCCACTCACCTGAAGGAGAGTATGACACGAAGGAAAGTTTCACCTGAAAGAAATGGTGTGACATGAGTAATTTTGGCTCAGGGTCTCTCATAGGGACTACACCATCCATATCTTCATTCCCAGACTAAGAATTAATGTGCCTGTACCATGGCCATGCAAACTGATCTGTGCATGCAATTCCCTTGGGATCTTGCTACAGAAACTACTGGGACTCCAGATGAGTTGCCAACACTGGTTCTTCACTCAGGTATCACTTTGTTTTTGCCTATAATGGCTATGTTTGTGTCCCAGATTCTGCCCTCAGGGAAGAGGGTGCAGATGATGTTTGTGGCTATTCTGAACTTCCCATAATATATTGGTATTTCCAGCCAGGGCAATCATGTGGGTTGGCTCCTGTAAGAATGAGTGACTGGGTTTGCCCATGGTGTCATTTCTACACAGCTGCTTCAGCTCACTCTTCTACATTTGCTGCTTCTCATGGACTTTCACAAAAGGAAGCTCAACTGGAAGTTGAAACTCCCCAACTCATCACATCACAGGCATGCTTGGAACAAGATACCGAGTTGAATCCTGGAGGTAAGAGAAGGGATAGCTAAGGTATGTGTGCATGAGGGAGGCTAAATGTCTTTGTTTAGATAGGTTTAAATAAGAAAACAAGAGAAAAGGCTTAAGTGGGGGATCAGTTGCAGAATTCACTGCAAAAATCGTGACAGACACAGCTAAGATGTATACTTCCCACAAGTATAATGATATTAGGCAGTAAAACTCCCTTGGAAACTAAATCCACATTTGTTTCAATGCACCATCCCAGGTGTGAAGCAGAACAGCTTCACTCAGCAGGGCTGGTGCACTCAGGCCCCCGAATCTCGTTGGAGCCCTGGGCAGAAGCCAGCTGTCAGCTTCCAGCTCCAGGCTTTTCCCTGCTCATATCAGAGAGTGAGCCAAGAAAATCGGAGGGCGTGAGAGGTATTTCCACATTTTCCCCATAGATTTTACCACGAATGTAACATTGAGTGGCAGTTAGCACCAAGACTGACATACCAGAGTGGACAGAGAGCTGTTATGTCCAGCATCCTCTTCCCCAAAACCTGCAGCACCAGATGCTGCTAGGGAGGATACCAGAAACTCTGTGTAATCTGATCCCAGAAGAACTTAATACTTTATCAGTTCCAAAAATCTGATTTTGGTTGGGGTTTTTTTTTGTTTTTTTTTTTTTTGGCTTTTGAAATATTTTTCCCATTCCTCTGGATATTCTCACTGGCTATATAAATGCACTTGCCCTTCCAAGAATCCTGCTAAACTCTTGGTATTAATGGCTGTGTCTAGACCACTAAATTAAACAGAGCCACAGCACCACTTGTGACACTGCTCCATGCTTTTCTATGTTATTTCATGGCCCCTTGACATGGATTAGCATCAGCCAGCAGAAAATACATACCTGTTAGCACAGTGCAGAGAACAGCACATTCTTGGGACCATTCCCAAAAGGTAGGCTGGGTGTGATCACCCTGTTTTTAGGGGTAAAAGAGTTCAGTCAGGTGGGTATGAATCATAACATGCCTCTGGCTTGGTGCCAGGCAGCAGACACTGCTCTGTTGCATTTAGTAGTACAGCTGCAGCCAGAGGGACTTGTAAATAACAAGCTCCATGGACCAGTTAAGCACACTGGGAAAAGCATCACTGGGTAGCTTTTGAAGAAATCTCATGGTATGTACATAGTAGCCTGATCACCTTCGGGGAAGAAGACAACATTTCCACCGAGGACTTGGTGCTGTGTCAAAGTACATGCTGTGCAATGAGGGTTTTGCCACACTTTTCAAACATTATCAGCAACCTAAGATTAAACATGCTCAAAGAAGGCTTAGCACTGTCCCTCCCAAATACCTCCCATCCCTGCAGGCATGTTCAAGGCTTGTTCAAAACAGCTTGGCTTAAAGCTGATCAGTCATCTTCAAGACAAATACAAAAACCGTCTCACCTGAGGTGCTTTTACCTGAGTATCCAAATGGGAGGGTTTGGATTGCCTCAGCCAGCTGCCACCCTGAACTGCACTCTTCAAATTGACAGCACACAGGTATTTTCACAGAGGCAGGGGACACCTCTTTGAGTGCCACAAGGCTCCTCAGCCTGGTCCTGCAGTCCTCTCTGAACCAATTTGAAATGTCTGCATCCTAACCACACTTGCACATATTTTTCTAAGAACAGGAGGAAATTGTCCACAAGGTCTTTATTGACCTTAGTAACACAAATACAAAAATATTTGCAGTCAAGTTAAGTAGCAGAAAATGTGTCCAAGACAGTATTGAGTAACCCTCCTTGAGGAGGGGAGTGTCTGGAGGGTCAGTAGGAATTGACACTGATGTCTCAGAGGACTTGGGAATACCAAGGACAAAGCACACCAAAAAAGGCATAAGTAAATATTTAACTGAAGACTGCAAGAACTTTCCCTTTTAGGTAAATCACTCTCCATATCTGAGTTCACCCCAAGGTGAAAAGGGCAGAGGGCAATTAAGTGGGCATCACCCAAGTAATTCCAGAAACAAAGAGTATTGCTTATGGGAAAATCATTAACCCAGAGTGAAAAATAAGCAGTTTGAAAAAGAATTGGGAAATGGATGACACTGTCTTATACAGAGATGAGAAGTGGATGTTCCATTAACCACATCTGACCTGAAGCAGTCTGCTCCCTCTGGCATGTGCCCCTGCAAGCACTTTCCACCAAGAGATAGAGAGATAGGTATGTTTGGGAGAAAAGGTCCTAAGAGATACATCCAGACCCTGCTCCTCAGGAGATGACAGTGAATTTTGCCTCCTGAAATCAGTGCAAATCCAGTTTGCTCTGAAACATGCATCCATTTCCATCCATACATGGAATTCTGTTGGGTTCCCCTGTTGCATCCAAATCCAGGCCCCAGGAAAGTGGATGGATCATCCAGCAGAAGAAATAAGGAGCCAGACAGATGGATCCATACCTTGCCTTGATTTAGCAACAGTTACAGGCAGGTGAGCAGTGTGTTGTGTAGCCCTCTGGAAAATCAGTGTTTTGTTTCATTCATCTATTAGGATGGCTTAGGAAAAACATCTATGACTTTTATTTACTTACTCTTGTAGGAGAGTTTGGTTAATATGGGAGGTACATAGTTCTTCCCAAAAGAGTAGGATGGTGATAACTGAAGACTCAAAAAAAAAAAAAAAGTGAAAAAGCTAAAAGATGTATCTCTCTCTAAAACTTAAGCACCCCTGAAAACAATTGGAAGGCTATTGTTGCCTTTGATAGGAACCAAAGTTTACCTCCTAGAGACCTGTTTCCTTTTAAAGAATCTCAGATGGCAAAAAAAAAAAAAATCTTATTTTTCCACTGCTGGTTTTAAAGTTTCACAAATGACACTTTTACAAGGACTTATTTCACTACAGGGAAAATCTCTTCTACTTCACTTTAACATTAAACATTGTGCAAACTCATTCTGGCTGAAAGGGTGGTCATTTTTTATGTTGGATAGCTCTTATGACAAACAACTAAAATATGCATCTGGAGCTCTTGGGCTTGTGGGACTTAAATCATTAAAATATTTTTATGGGGAAAAAATTATAAGATGGAAAACTACACTTTTGCTCTGAGGGAAAGTTCACTCAAGTGTACAGTTTCCAGGGCACACAAACCCACTATTTAAGCATACATATGCCTCACATACACTACTTACATGTACATTTCCCACATATCTGTGAGTGTGCTTGTGTGTGCAATGTTTACACAGCCTCTATTGCATTTGGTCACATGTACTTTTTTATGCAGCAGCCCCGTTTGAATTGGAACCCACCGGTTTTTGAATATGTAAGGATCAAAATCCTTAGATGGACAGAAGAATGATAGAGTCTTTTTCACATCAGAAAGGGCATGTAAACACAAAGTTTTATTTAGCCATGAGAAAGATTACTACTGGACATCCTGCAGCTTTGGTGCTTCCCTAAACTGAGGAACAATGCAATGATGATTTTTAAAACTACCTCTGCATAATAAACTGAATGAACATGTTAAAAAAAGGCCTAGTGACACTTAGCTGCTTTCTTGGCTTTGTCCCCTACACTTTTACTACTTACTCCCTTACTAACAGAGTGGGTGAGTGATCTCACCATACACCAGCAATGCCAATGACTGCTGGCTTGGGATGGAGGGTATCCATAAAGTACATGAATGTTGGGAAATATCTGCTGGAATGGCTTAGCTGAGTTCAAACATCTGCCTGCAGCACAGAAAAAAAAAAAGGGAGGTTTCCTAAACTACTCAGTGCACGGACCCTAAAGTGAAAGGTTAGTAGTCCCTAACTCCTCCTCCACCTAAGAGGCTTATGATTTATTTACATGGAGTGTTTTATAATACACGAGGAATGCCTTGTCATCTGGACCTAGATTAAAAAAAAAAAAAACAAAACCAACCCATAGCTATTGGTATGAAACTCAGCCCTCCCTCTTTTTCCCAGGGTAGTTTTATAATATTCATATTTCTTTTTAATACAGGGTCCAAGAAAGGAAAAATAACTTTGGGCAGTTTTTCAGTGTGTCTTATAAGAAAAGTCCATGAAATATATGGGGAAACAACTGAAACTGCAGACTATCAGTGCCAAAACCTTGGTAATTTATATGACTATCTAAATAAAACCAATGTGAATACTGTGACTTTGCCATCTGTCCAATAAGATGCACCTCAGGTAACAATCAACATGCATTTGCTGAAACTCCTCTCACAGTGCCTTGGAAGGGATCCACCTTCATCTCAGGGTCAGTTCATACATTTTGGCTGGCAGATATGAAAGGTGAAGTTGTTTTATGTTGGTATGTACAGCTGATGGGCAGTGATTCATCAGACTGTAGTAGCACAGCCCTCTTGTTGCATTCCTGCTCTCTGGTTTGGATGCCTGAAATGACAACCCCATTTTGCCTCCCAAACCTCCAAGTTCAATGCCTCAGTGCTGTTCTACAGAATGAAACCATGAACTTTAGCCTCTGTGCAAGGATGCCCAGATGATAAAGCCCTTAGTACTACCATTATCTAAGCCTGTCCTTCCCTTTTCCTTCTCTTTCCCTAGCTATAGGATGAAGCTATTGAGATATATTGAGATATATTTCAATTGACGGGTCTTTGTCCACTTGCTTGCACTGGCTCTCTGTATCAGCACTTCCAATGTCCTACACTTCTTCAGGGTGTTTCTACTGCATTCATCAAGACAATATGTAGAAACTTACTTTCTGTACCTTTACCTGTCTTTTTTTCCCTCTCCATGCCTTCTTCCAGGCATCTGACACCATCCTGTTATTGCCATACCCTTTGTCAGTAGGTATCACAAGCATTTCTCTAGGAATAGTCTCAGGTTCAGTATGTGGTTTCATGATGTATTCAAACTGTGATGTTGGAGTCAGGAAACAGTAAGAAGGAGCAAGGTATGGAGAAAAGTAGAGGTGAGGAAAACAACCAGTGACTTTCGGCAGTTCTGATGAAAGATAGCCTATGCTGCACCAAGCTGTTTGCCTCTGTGTAAGTAATTTCTTAGCATTTAAAGCATGCCATGGACCTTGCTCTTTAGAAGTAGGCGGCATAGGAACCCAGGAAATCATCTCTTAAAATGCAATCTCAGTACCTGCTTGTCCCTTTCCCTGAAGTTTCTCAGAACAGATGTTGCCTTCAAGCTATAGTTACTTAAAATTTCGCAGCATGGATGAACATGTGGCTCAGAGAAAGCAGCCAGGAGAGTCCCTGTTAGCTGTTGGTGTCACGGAACTCTGTGACTCAGAGTTCAGGTTCCATCTGGTAGGAGTTGGTGGCCTGGGCATATGCAGTAGATTTACACCAAGAGATTAATCATAGGCCTGTTTTACAATGAGTTCTAGTCTTTGGAAGAAGAGAGGCAGTCACTATTAAAGTAAATATTTTTTTCTTCAATGAACTAAAGAAGATATTTTCTTAATTCTTATCTAACATAGGAAAATCTTCAAGTGAATAAATAAGGCAGTCAGCTTCTGCCAAGTTATCTTACCAAGCAGAAAAACAGCCCATTTGTGAATCAAATATATTAAACCAGAATTTTCTATAGTATGATGTTTTTTAGAGATGGTAAACTGGTCCAGATAATATGATTTATCATTTTCCCAGTTATATTCCTGATGAGTGTACTCTGTCAAGGTCTAGCTGAAACTCCGACAAGGGATGGAGTTTCCTCTAGTTCCTATGGATAATTATTGTGCTTCTTGCATGAGAGTGAATTTTGTTTTACTTATTTTGTATTATTCACCACTGATCTATATATTCATCTTTATTCCATTTTCCGGTAATACATTATGCAATAAAACATCTGGCATTTGGTATTTGTTCTCCCATCCCTTCCCTGCAGGTAAAGGTGAACACACAGCAACATGTTCCAGTGGGAGCTGGGACTGAGTAGGTTCAGTTTTTTGGGTCATTTTTGTTTTCTTATAAATGTTAATAATCCCATGGATTTACACTATTCTATGTTTGTGCTTCTTTTTGTTTCACTCTGTGAGATAATACCAGTTTAACACTTCTGCCTTTTGGACATTTGTGACGTTCAGTCCTTGTTCA